TCGTCCACGATCTCCGCACTAGGCACAGGAAAGTGGCCGTCTAGGGCAGGAGAGCTCCCAGCCTGGCCAACCAGGAGCAGGTGTGCAAGAGAATCAAGGGGGTCCACTGAGACCCCCGACCCTGAGCCCTGAGCTGACAATGGCCGTCCTGGGTCAGACCAAAGGTCCATCTAGCCCAGTAGCCTGTCTGCCGACAGCGGCCAACCCTAGGGGCCCTGGAGGGGATGGACCGAAGACAGTGACCAAGCCATTTGTCTCGTGCCATCCCTCTCCAGCCTTCCACAAACCTTGGGCAAGGTTAACTAATTAACTAATTCGAACTAAGTTAGTTCGAATTAACATTGTAGTGTAGACATACCCTGTCTTTGCCCCCCAGCAGGGTGATGACGGACATCTCCAGCTCTGAGTCCACTACCGGAGCAGGGGAGAGACTGATCTGCCCCCTAGGATGCAGTGGAATTCTGTATAGTAAGGGCAGGTCTGGGTTGTCGCCCTGGAGCAGGAGCTGCATTCCCTGGACTTGGCATAGGCCTGCCTGATCTCCTTCACCTTCATCAGCACTGCTCCTGGGTGTGGATGTGGCCCTTGGTGCCCAAGCTCTTGGCCATCCAGCCACAGACATCAGCATTCTTGCATGTGGTGTGGGGATCCTGGAGGTTTGCCTCCTCACCCCAGGCCTCAATGAGGATCTCTGCACCAGAACACAGAGGTGCGCACCTGTTTCGTCCCCTGGCAAGGTTCTGGGAACTGGCTGCCTGCTTGGCTGCAGCCGTGGAGGGCTTGGATGGAGCACGGGTTTGGCTCATGTCAGCAGGGACAGCTGTGCAGGCAGCTGCTCTGTAGCTCAGGGATGTCAGGACCTGCCGTGCGCCACAAGCCCTTTCCTCTGAGGCTGCACTTTTAAGGCCTGCAGGGGAAGGGATACTGTAGAGTTTTGCTAAGTGTGGACAGAGGGGCTAGCAGGACACCTGTGGCAAGGGCTGGAGGGCACTTATTTTGAAATAA